TCCTTTATCGCTATCGCCACCCCCCTTCAACAGCCGAGCACAACTAACGTATAACTTATACCCATTCAACACCAAGTCGCTTCCAATCTTATGATTGTGTTCCTGCAAGAAACACACATCCACCTGAAATCTACGTAAAAACCATACCAACCACACAGTTTTGATCTCACCCTTGAGACCATTCACATTTAGGGTGACACACCTGAAGGTTACAAGAAGGGTGGCTTCCCTCGATGCCGCTGTGGTTTGCCTACCACACCTTTACCAGTGCATCGACCCGACGCCTCACCAGACTTTCCCAGGACTCCCTCCCCACCCTTTACCCTTTCACTGCATAACTCATTCTCCACTGGATCCTTTCGGTCCAACAACTCTTCCTTCGGTGCCCAAGCTTTTTTGCCCAGCCTCTGCCCTGGCGTGAGTACCTCCTCGGCCTCTGCCATACCAGCCGGCCTTTTCCTAGAGCCACCACTCGCACACATGTCCTCATCTGACAAATTCTCCTGATGGACCTCCACCTCCACCACTTGCTCCAAGCGAGGTCCACACAATGTTTTTACTACAGACTGCTGTTCCTCCCTCACATCGGCCTCGGCAACACTTAAGGCACAGGTCTCCCACCCGTCCAAAAAATCTCTCAACACGTCCTCCAGTAAGTTGTCCTGAGGCTCGTCGTTCCTTCTCGGTGGAGCCCCTGATGGTCTCATTGGCTCCCCCGAGTCTATGGGAGTGTGACACAAGTACCAGCCGTCCTTTTTTCTCGTTCAACCCTATCACTCCAACTACCAATCGTCCTCGCTTCCTCCTTTCCCAACTCTGGCCTCAACTCACAAGGGCGCTGCTCCACAGCCGACATGCCAGGTGCCCTGGTAGTCTCCTAGGACTCTCTGCTGCCATATGATCGTAGGAGCTACATAAGTGACAGGTCCTTCTCTGTCCGGCATAGTGCATGTAGACCTGCGTCCTGTAACCCACTAGCATGACGTAGGATGGTATAGGCCTAGCCAAAGTCATTTTGAGGGTATAAGAACCCTCCGGTAGTCCCTCGTATGGCCCATCTTCCCATACTTCCATAGTAGCTGAATGGACTTTACCATAACTGTTGAAAGCCTCTTGTATACCATACGCAGTCGCCTCGAAAGGGACGTTTCTCACCTTCACCCACGTATAGTACTTAGATACGTCGTGCAAGACGACGTCCACCGTTGAGTTCAGTCATCTTCCTCTCCTGGTACTCGTCAACGATTCTGTCGTAGAAGCCAGCACGATTCATTTTCACGAATACCCTGGACATCCCGTTTAAAGCTACACCATATACTTCATCGTTGGGGACACCATAGACGTCTCTGATGATGGCAGGTAGCAAGGTATTCATTGTTTCGCCACTCAGCGTGCCACGTACCAGCTGAATACAAAGTGTTGATCCTCTGACCCACTCGAACTGCCATCTTGTCTTCCAGTTGCAAAAGGTCACCACCAGAGGGCAGGTGTAGCTACTAGGCGTGCGTCCTCTCTCCCCGGAGGTCGAGAGACGAATGCTTTTTAACTATTATTTTTATCCGAAACCTCTATGACTTTTGTATTTAATTGTCCTGAAAGGAGCTACTTTGCCCGAATGTTTTGGCATGTTTTAATTTAGTACTAGAATGCCTCGTTCACTCCGCTTAAAATTTTGAACGCTGGTGCTTTGTAACAGATTCGTGTAACTGCTGGCAAGTGCCAGTGACCTAGAGTCAATTTTATTTAGACTATTCCATGATTTGTTGACAATGTGAAAACCTTAGCACAATACTCAACATGTTTAGGCATTAGATATAAATTTGCTAATATTTGGGGTAGTTAATGAACTTGAAACACGTGAATTACGAGAAATAACTTGATTGCTTTTAATTAACTTCGAACTCGAAGCAATGGTTGCTTTTGCTCATTGGAAAGTTCACATCAATTTTGAGCTGTGCAAGTTATAATTTGCTAGTCTTAAGAAATTAGTTTTTGTGGAATAGCTAGAATTCTATATATGTGAAGAACTGGTTAGATAAGTACACTTTCCTGCATGAAACTACATGTAGCAATCGGTGCTCATCTGCTAACAGCACAGTGTATAGCAGCCTCTCCCTGGCCATCCATTTGGGGTGCCATTCCAGCTCCCACCAGGGCTGTAGAATTGACAAGTGGGTTAGATACCAATTTGCCCCAAAGGAGCATATATCTCTGCATCTTATAATTATCCGAAATGCTTAGTGGCACTCGTTTGGTTTGGTGTAAAGCCCTCCTATCATGGCCTTGTATAGGACAGCCCTAATCACCGTGTCTGCCCATGGACTGCAGTTCATTATGGCATTAAAGGTGAGATTGACTTGCCTTGCTCGTGTATCTTGAGCTTATGGCACTGACAGCGCCATTAAGGCTGATATCGGTGACTTGACTGAAGGCTTGAGTGTCTCGGGGATTGTTGCACTTCTTCGCCACTGCCAGGAATGTTCGTTGCAATCACTTGCAATACCGGTTGCACTTCACCATTCAGTACCATAATTTGTTCAGTTTCGTGGCATTATCCACAGCAGGGAAACATGGAGACAAAATAACACTACATGATTAGTTCTACCGTGAATTTCCTGACTCACAAGGGAGCTAGTCTAACTTATCTAGTTTCCTGAGATTGTCAGAATGAATAAGTAAAGAAGACACTGGTCGCTACTGTCACTTTGTCTTTTAACGATAAGGAAGCAACGCCCTCATGACACATCCCTTCATTGAAGCAATCTGAAGCCCCCCCCTGCCCTCGTTGCCCCCCCTCCTCATCGTCCCCACAAAGGATATGCTGAACTCGGCTTTATTTTTCTTCCTTGCTACACACTGCAACAGTACTCGATACTAGAGCATAGATTTCTCATCTAGCTATAGACTAGAATTCCTAATAGTCCCAATTGCTGATAAAGTGGGTGCAGGGTTTTCCTTAAGTTCTGCTAAGGGGAAAAGAGTAATTACTGTGTAGTTGCAACAAGAACTCTAGCACGGAGAGGAAAGCGTGCCTCGTGACACTATGGTACAAACATGTGGTCCTTGTAAAGCTGTTTGCGAGGAAGGCAGTCCACTAGACCCTTCGGGGAGGGCTGAGTTCCTCAGATGGCTGAGGGGGGGGGCTGAGAGGGCTGAGATATACCCCCCTCCCCTCTATTGGAGAATTTTCAACACAATATATGTTCAGCTTCAAACCTAAATTCTTGTCTCTTGGGGAAATTTTTGGACTGATTTTTGAGGTGGTTTTAGTCTCAATTTTTATTTTTTTTTAATTCCTGTTGCTCGGCTTCAAATTTTCACTACTTGAGACAAAGCTTTGGATTACCGGACTGTAAAGGTGTTAATTTCTCATTCTACTTTCGACCCTTGAACTGGTCTTTGTCTCGTAGCTTACAGAAGGTATGCAAATAAGTTTCTTAAATTTATTTAAGGTTGCAGTAAATTTTGGAGAGTAAAATTTGGAAAACAATGAAAATTCTTTTAATATCTAATTGATGTTTTGAAGAGCTGCACCTCTTGGATACAATGTTCTTTTCATCAAAGCATAGGGATATAACTTTCCATGCAGTAACTGATACTAAATGAATTGCTAACCTTACCGCACTCGGTATTCTTTTCAAGAGCACTAGCAGAGGGGGCTGGGCTGGGCTGGGCTTACATGCTGTGATGACACCTACATCGGATAACGCAGTACCTCTGATTTCTTTGGTGTTTCATGTCTGGAGCTCGACAGCTAATGTACATTGCTTAGAATGTGAAAGTTTTTAAAATAATTAAATTAGACATTTAAAATCAGTGGTCATTACAGAATGTGTATGTTGTGTAAAACGTTTGTGTATAATGTCATCACATTCTACTTTAGGCTTTGGGAAGTGTTAGTTTTCTACAAACAAAACCAAATTCTGTCTACAGGCAATTTGAAGTTAGCATTGACATTATTGGAATTTAGTAGTAGTTACTGTACATGAGTGTTTAGTGCGAATTGGCTGATTAGGGGAAAGCAAGTGTTTAAAATGGATTTGGAAGAGTATGGTAAATAGTGAAGAGCAAAAAAATTTGCACAATTTTCACTGACGAGTTTTATGAAGATATGATGAAAATTTGCAAGAAGCGGAATACCTGGATATTTCTTCCGAAGAGTTTAAAATTTGTTGTCATGCCTTGCCATTCGGTGGATTTGGACAAGGTAGCTATCCTGAAATGCTAGTGAAGGAAAAATTTAAGATTTTAGCACCTTGGTATATATATATAAATTTGTCATCCTGGACATAACTAGGAGACTAGTACCGAACTTGCACACGAAAATCACTCACTACGAAAGCAAAAGACTTGGCAGACGATGCAACATCCCCCCCAATGAAAAGCAGGGGTGTCACTAGCACGTTAAGAGACCATACAATAAGTGTCAGGGGCCCGAGACTGTTCAACTGCCTCCCAGCATACATAAGGGGGATTACCAACAGACCCCTGGCAGTCTTCAAGCTGGCACTGGACAAGCACCTAAAGTCGGTTCCTGGCCAGCCGGGCTGTGGCTCGTACGTTGGTTTGCACCAACAGCCTGGTTGATCAGGCTTTGATCCACCAGGAGGCCTGGTCACAGACCGGGCCGCGGGGGCGTTGACCCCCGGAACTCTCTCCAGGTAAACAGCATATAAATTAGAAAAAAAGCGTAACGAAGACACGGTGTGGGGGGGGGGGGGAAAGCTATTTAGGAAAACTGATAAAATATCATAGGCTACAATAGTGAGTAGGATGATGCCAGACAATATAGGTGGATGCACTGAATGATTTATAAATAAGTGTGATGTTTGAAAGGATTTAACTCTTATTCCCTGACAGTTTAATGAGTATAGTGAACACGCTATTGTTGATTTTCTTGTGCTGTATATAAATTTTCACCATAATGAGGATACAAACATTCAAAGATATTGCAGTAACTTGGGTAGGATGGAATACTCTCATTACTGTTTCTTCTGCAGTGGATGATGGTTGTTGCTATCGCTACCTCTGCACTGGTGGGCTGAGTGACTCTGATCCCATGAACTCCAAGGATAACAAACCTCACGCCTTCATGATGTTCTTCAGAGATCACGTTGCCCGCTACCTAAACATGCCCTTCATCAAAGGCGAGTTGTAGCAAATTTGATCATGTTTTGACAACGTATGTATAAGGAATAGGGAGTTAACTATAGGTCACTGGTTCTAGGAATCTTTTCTCGTGTGGGAAATTACTTGCATGAGGTTTACAGGGTATTACCTGAATTATTACGTACAAGTAATTCGGGCGAGGTAAGTGGGACTTGGTCGCAGAACTGTCACTCCTTCGATGCCCACTCCATCCCTACTTTCACAAAAAGCTAGACCTGACATTAAATTAATAAATACAATATTAAAACCAGCTACTGTTAAATTAAAATTGTGCGAGATTTTATATTTTAGTTTACTTGCTGGGTACACAAAATATAACTATTAGCACAATACATATAATACAAAGGTGTTATTAGTAAAGAAATTCGTGTTACCACTTACCATTTAATTACTGGATTACAATTTTGGATTACAATTTTTATTTGTAACACACCCTAACACTACCCCTATAACTAGAGCTTACGATGGCCAACACAAAACTACTATACATTATGGGTAAGCGTCACTTAGCTAAGGTGTGCTGCTGGGAAGACTGAGTCCGATTCTCAACAATTTCCACATAATTATCTGCCTTGTTGTTGCCTAGAATGCCCTATGCTACAGCAACAAAGCTCTCCCAGGCTTCCTTTTTCTTCTCTGTGAGCTTCTTTGGAAATTATGAGTACTCCATAGTTTTCCTGACTTGTGGTCCAGTGAAGATGCCAGCCTTCACCTTTGCCTCTGATAGCTCGGGAATGAAGTCTAGAAGATACCTGAAGGCTGCAGACTGTCAAGAGCTGAAACAAACTGTTCCATTAGCCCTAGTTTGATGTGTAATGGAAGGAACAGAACCTTTTGAGGATCCACCAATGGTTTGTTTGATGTCTTCCTACTGAGAACTCATTCTTTGATGCCAGTGCTTCCTCTGGTAATGTGCTGCTCTGTCTCTACTATCCCAGTGAGAGATAACAGGGAAAAATGGTAAAACATCCTTGGAGCCCCATAAAAAATACCACGAATTTGAAGTCTCCAGCAACTTCCCAGCCATACTTACCAGAGTTCAAAGCTTCCAGTAGAAGTTTGACACTTTTGTAGTCCTCCTTATTATGCACTGAATAAGCCAAGGAAAGAAATGGATACTTGCTCCCATTGTGCAGACGTACAGCTTTTAGGCTTCGGAGGAGCTGTCAAGAGTCTCCACTCATCTGGATTGCATGTAATTCCAATTGCATCAAACAGGCCTGATACTTCATTACAGTAGCACAACCTGTCTTCAGTAGTGAAGAAGCTTGAGAAATGTTGGTGACGTTTTCTTTGGCTTGTCACTTGCACACACTCATCCACCAAATCCCACTCCTTGAACCTTGAAATCAAAAGCTCGGCATTTGACTTTATCAAACCAAGATCTCTGATGAGGTCATTAAGGTCTGTTTGGGTTGGGTAGTAAGGATTCCTCACAACAGCTGCATCTTTGAGATCATAGTCTTGTTCACTGTGCTCTTCATTTTCTGATTTGCTTTCTTCTGACAGTTGACTTCTTTCTGGAGGTGTAGGTAAAGGGAGAGCAGCACTGTGTGGTACTGGTGCAATAGAAGAGGGAAGGTCTGGATAAGAAATAGCAGGTGCATTTTTCTCAGTTTGGCGGTTGGAAGGATCCACCAGACAGTAGTAGCAGTTGAGTGATAAGTGGATTCACGCCAGAACAGCAAACTTCATGACTTTCTTTTTTCTCCTCTATATCATCCTGTAAAGGAACAAAAGAATTAGTTTGTTACATACCAGAATATACTTTGTAAACTTCACACCTTTTTTTTTTTTAGATGCTATTACAGAGAACTTCTTTGCTCTTCTCTTTATGAATTGACCACATATGTAGCAGAATGCATCTAGAGAATGACTGCAGCCTCTTGATGCCATTTTACTTCCGATGTGTCTTCTCAGGCAGCCAGAGCTAAACTGAATGATGGTTTGTGAGCTCCTGTTTTTATATTTGCCAAGCAAAACCCTAGAACATAGTTTTACATCAGTCATTCTTGAAAGTGTTCCATAAGTGTTCCGAAAACAAAAGCAAAGTTCTGGGATCAAAATTGCTTTTTTTTTAAATTTTGTTTAGTTATACAGAATTGGGAAATGATGCTTATTTCCCAGAAACACGATAAAACTGAAATTTTGTTAGTGTAATCTAAGGACCATAGGTAATGTTTCACTAAATTATTTGATACATAATACCTTCAGCAACATAAACAATAATCGATAATACTCATGCATAAAATTCTTATACTTGTATATCAAGAATAGGATAAACATGGTAAAATCAGGCATGATTTAAATACAATAAATACTACAACTACACAGACTAGGCTAGGCTCACCATCCCCCAATAATAACCCAACAAAAAGCCGCAGTAAGAATAATCACTAAATCCCATCCCTGGCAACACCCCATCCCCCCCCCCCCCGCTCTTCATAGATCTAAACTTACTCCCTGTTCAGTACATCCACACTTACTACTGTGCAATCTACATCTACAGGACCTTAAATTCCAATATTAACCTTGACCTAAAGCGCTTCCTTGATAGTTGTGACAGGACCCACAGGCATAACACCAGACACAAACATCTCTGACATTCCCCATGTCCGACTAAACCTTTACAAAAATTCAATGTGTGTCAAAGGGCCTAAAATCTGGAACACCCTACCTGAAAACTCTATAACTGCAGACACATTCATCACTTTCAAAACTACAGTTAGAAAACATCTTATCTCCCTGATACACCCCGTCAACTAACTACATGATAACCACCTCGTGGTTCACAATTACTCTGACTGACCCACTGACTACAAACCCAGAAATACTAATCTTAATCTTAAAATAATAAATCCTAACTAGTCGTAAGTTTGCCTATGATACTCCAGTATAGACACTTTGTATTGTGCCAAAACAAAAGCATTCACATTGCTAAACTCACTTAGCCTTAAAACCATAATCTGTAAGGATTTAAAGTTTTGAATTAATCTAAGTCTGCCCGAAATGCCTAGCCATGCTAGGTGTCCTAGTGGCTCCCTCTAATTAGTATTTTAAAACATGTAAACCACACAATATCCAAAATCTGTAAACCCCGCATTGTAATCCTTATAGAGAATAAACTTGATTGATTGATCAGTGATGTTCTGCCTTTACATTTTCCCGATTTTATCTAACTTCAATCTTTAACAGATCTCGAAAACATAATGAAGGTTAAATAATAATGCGAGAGCACTTCATGGGAAATGTAGTGTAGATATGCCTCGAGTGGCAGTAACTCGTCAGTGGCGGATAGCTGGACGTCTAGTTCCTATGTGATGTAGTATTCTTGACCAGTTGGTAAGTCCTCGAGCTTAAATGTTCATCTCTCTCGTCTCCGTGACGGTGCATAACGCTGTCAGTTCGAGGATTGCCAATTATCGGGTAAGAAACATACATTAGGTACATAAGGTTAGAGAGGCGACTGAGGCAACCCCGAGAGTCTCTCAAGGAAGCCTCGTATGGAAAGCTCGCGTAAATGCTATGCATTAAATTTATTAATTTTTCACTTATTCGCAAATAGATTCTTTTAGTAAATCATATTTAAACAGTTATGCAAATTATTTGCATTTATGCACAGGGTACGCATTACGGATTTTTTTATATGCAAATTTCTTGATAAAAAAAAAAAGTTATCGTAACTTTAAAATTAAGGTTATATGAGCATCAGATGTCACCTAGGCCACAATCCTCTAGCAGTATACTGGACTATAATCCTTAGATTAATAACTTGAAAGAAATTGAGGTAAAATTTATTATGTATGACCTTAAGCAGAGGCTAGCATTTTTTAAAAAACATCTATATGAACGTTGTTTTTTATATTTTGCAAACTATTTTAATTATTTAGTTCACCGGCTGTCTGCCACCTACGGTGGGTTACACAAAGATGCCTCTTCAAGGCGGCCTCCTTGTTGTGGTGAAGAGGCTATTGGTCTGAGGGATTGAACCTTTTCGTCTTCTTCCTCAGACCGAACCTAATTAACCCCCCCCCCCAATTCTCCCTTCCTTATCCCATCCTCCCAATCCCCCCCTTTCTCCCTTTCCTCCCAATCCCCCCCTTTCTCCCTTTCCTCCCTCCTCCCAACCCTCCCCCTTTCCCCATCCCGTTTGTAGCCTCTGGGGTCCTCCCTTCTGGCATTAGTTCTAGGTAAGGGGAAGTTTACTGGAGTTCATCCCGCTCCATGAGGTTCCTCGGGTGTGGTGTATTTTCCCGTGGAATCTCAATTGTCTGGAGGTGCCCTGCTCCCTTTCTGGATTTCCGGGAAGTGGGTGGGGTGTCCTGTAGATGACGGGTGTATCTCCAGAGGCTGCCTGTCGGTTCTGGAAGGTTACAGCCGAAGGAGGTATGCTTTGTGGCGGATTTCCAACCACCCTTTCTTTCGTAAGCCGAGGTGGCTCGGTAGACGAGAGGTTGCTATCTCGGAATGCTGGTTTACTAGAGTGAAAGGTAGGGTATGCCACGGGTTCCACGCTGCATCTGCACTACTTGTGGGCTCGAGGTCCTCTCGGATGAGGGGGGTAACTTACGGCCCCTTACATGTCTTCTAGTGACTGTCCTTCCGCTGTCACTCTTTATTTTTTCTTTCTTTAAAATAATAATAAAGAAGTACCACTATCATGGAATCTTCGTTCCGTGATAGCCTTCCTCTTCCCAGGCCCCTTTTAGCTCCTGCATCCTGTTCTGACCCGGCTTCATTATTGGACCATTCCCTTGCACCTTCTGCTGGTGACGCTTCGTCACCTGCTCCAGGTGCTGGGGCACCGCCCATTTCTGTTAGTGCCTCTACCTCTTGCATGCCTTTAACTATGCATCCGGCTTCCCCGAATATGGTGCGATGGTTTTCGGATCGCTCACCTACCTCGGGTCAGGCAGTCCGCGGTACTACACCTGAACGTTCCAGACCATTTGCTGACGATGGTTCTTCAATATCTGCT